CCGCCGCCCGCCTCTCCTTACGGCACGCCGGGCCATCCGCGCGCGCGCTGAGCACGACCGCGCGCGTCTTCGCGGCCCAGAAGCCAAAGCCCAAGGCCAAGGCCGCCAAGGCCGTGCAAACCAACCCCGAAGACGCGCTGCCGCTCGACGAAGCAATCCGCGTGCTGCGCGCCCTCGAAATCGCCTCCCCCCACTCAGCCTTCAACATGGAAGTCGCGACCAAGCACAACAAGCCTAACGCGCCGCCGCTGCGTGGACGCATCTCGCTGCCGCACGACCCGCGCCGTGTCGCCGATACCATCGTCGTCTTCGCCGAGGCCGACTCGCCCGCCGCGAACGCCGCGCGCGAGGCCGGCGCACACATCGTCGGCGGCCAAGACCTCTTCCCCAAGATCCTCGGCGGCGAGATCGTGCCCACAAAGTGTCTTGCTACGGCCGGTATGATGCCGCTCGTCAGCGCGTCGCTCGCTCGTTTCCTCGGTCCAAAGGGGTTGATGCCGAACATGAAGCGCGGGACCGTCGGCGAAGGCGTCGAGTTGGGACGCCTCGTCGAGGAGGCTGGTGGCTCCATCGAGTGGAAGGCCAACAAGCTTGGTACAGTCAAGGCACCCGTCGGCAGGGTGAGTTTGGGCGGCTACGACGCCTCTTGACATGGAGCATCACTAACCTGCAGATGACCTTTGCCGCCGCCGACATCACCCAGAACGTCCGCCTGTTCATGGACCACATCCGCGATCAGTCCGTCAAGCTCTCAAACTCTGAATCTGCCTTGGCGCGCGTCAACAAGGGTGAGTGCTGCATTCCACGGCTACAGAAGCTGACGAGCAGCCGGCAAGCTCACTCGCGTGCGCATCGAGACTACCCAGGGGCCGAGTATCGAGATCAAGGACATGATCTAGACTCGGTGGTTGGTATACGCACATCTCAGCATTATGCATAGGTTCGGGCAGTAAGCGGCGGGCAAGGGAGTACAGGCGGTAGCAAGACTGGTGTGAGCGACACGAAAAGGAGCATGATACACTCAAGAGTATGGTCAGCCCTCAACCTGCATGACTGCGGCGGAGTCCTCTATGCTGGTGCCTGCGGCCAGAGGTTACAAAGGAGAAGCAGGACAACATCGACTGGCCACGTACTGCACATGCCTGCTTGGCTGAAGGCCAGTGATTGAGCCCAGACCACCCTCCCCACCAGCTGCACCACTCTATGCATCTCTAAGTCTACTTCTTCATCCCCATCTTGCGCCGGCGCGCACCCGCCGCCTTGCCGCCCACCTTCTTGCGGCGGCCCTCGGCTCCGCTGGCGGCGCTGTCCTCCTCGCCCTCAGTAGTCTCAGCCGTGGAGGTACCCGGCGAGTCCTTCTTGAGGCGCTGGGCACGCAGCTCAGCGGCGCGCGACTTGCGCGGGGCCGGCGTCGGCGTGCCCTCCTGCACATCGTATCCCTCGACCTCAGACGCCGAGGTTTCCTCCTCTTCGTCCTCGAGCTCGGCCTCGTCCCCAATCTGCTTCTTCGCGAGCTTGGCCCAGACGCCGCGCGACAGCTGCGCTGGCCACGTCTTCGAAAGCGACGGCTCGGGCGCAAGAGACGACAGGGGGGTAGCGGTGCCGTCGGCGTGCGGCTAATGTCAGCCTGTCCAAACCTCGAGCTTACCAGGAGCACGGTCCCGCCGTCGACGACGAGCTCGAGCGACTCGCCGCCCACCATGCCCTCGACCATGGGGACGCGGACCTTGCGGCGGCCCTTGGCGCCGCTGGCAGCCTTGCGCGCCGCCTCAGTGAAGTACGTCACGCGGCGCGTGTCACGGGTATAGTTCATGCGGAGGACGACGTAGTGCAGCCCAGACGTGAGGAGGGTGAGGAAGACGAGCACGAAGCCCAGTCCTGGGCGCCAGCGCGAGTAAGCGTACCCGAGGCCCTTCCAGGTCGGCACGCCGTTTTTGTAGTAGAACTGCGTGAGCGCCGCCGTGTGTTAACTCACGTTGTACCGCTCGCGCTTGGTGCTGTCGCGGAGGATTTGCGCGATGACACCAAGCCGCGCGAAGCGTTCTTGGATATTCGCTACGCCCGGGTTCTTGTCCGGGTGCAGCTCGAGCGAGCGCTTGCGGTACGCCTTGGTGATCTGGGCGTTGGACGCGGACGGCTCGACGCCGAGAAACGAGTAGAACGACGTGCCCTTGCCTGCTGTTAGACTGGAGCGTGCCGGACTCACCCTCTGATGCTTCGAGGGCCGCGACGAGGTCGAAGACCTCGTGGTCGAGGGCGTCGAATGCATATGCTGTGAGCGCACAGATGAGCGCGAACAGCGCGTAGAATGATACGCGCATGGTAATGAATGTGGGGCGTGAGTGAGAAAAGAGCGTCGGTGAACACGATTGCGGCCCGCGTCTTGAAACTGAGCAGGCAGGCACATGAGGCCGATCGGGAGTGAGTCACGTGGGACGGAGAACGCGTACTGTCCGGATCCAGTGGCTGGACCAGGCGTCACTGAGGAGCATGTACCCCTGCAACACTCATCTCGATAACTCGACTCTGGGACACTCTGCTCGTCATCCATCCCCGTGCTCATATACTTCTCAGGGTTGACTCTTAAGCTACGCGTTTAGCTGTCCATCATGTTATCCGTAAGTCAGGAGCTCGCCATCAGTGCACTGATGCAGTACGCGGCGAACCTAGAGCCCCGCATCCGGAGCATCCTGCAGAGCAGCGACCTGAACACCATGTGCGTCCGCATCACCGTCTTAGCTCGTTTTAGCTGACTGAAGCTCGGCGAAGGGCGTGCGAAAGCAACTAGTCGCCGCGGGAGAGGACGAAAGCGCGATCAAGGAACACAAGGCGGACATAGATGCGATTGTGCGGATACCCTCCACCTCTGACGCTGACATAGATCGGCGAGATCTACGAGGAACTCTGCGACGCGGAAGAAGACAAGGTCAAGACCAAACCCGAGTCGGCGTCGCCACCCGCGTCCTCGCAGCCTCTCGCTGGCCGCGCGAAGGCTGAGGACAACGATGCGGAGCTCGCCGCGCGCATGCAGGCCGAGTATGACGCAGCAGTCCGTGGTGGGCGGGGCGCACGGAGAACCGCTGCACCCGCACCGAAGAAGAAGAAGGCTAAAAAGCGCAAGGCGGACTCGGATGATGACGAGCCCAAGAAGAAACGCGCGGGAGGCGGCGGCGGCGCGTTCAACAAGCCCATGATCCTGAGGTGAGGATAAAAGCGGATCGAGCTGACACCAGTCACGAGCTTGCATCCTTCACGGGTGAGGAGCAGCTGTCGCGTCCACAGACAGTCAAGGCATTGTGGGCACACATCAAGGCGCACGACCTGCAAGATCCATCGGACAAGCGTTTCATCCTCTGCGACGACAAGATGAAGGCGCTGTTCAAGACGGATCGCCTGCACATGTTCACGTAGGATCCCGACCGTCCAAGCTGACTCGCGCAGAATGAACAAGCTCCTCGGAGAACATCTATACAATCCCGACGACGTGGCGGGCAAGGTAGAAAAGGTCGAGAAGGCCGAGCCATAGAGCGGTGTATTAGCAGTTTGTACTATCGGTGTATGAGAACAGTGCATATGCGGAGCGTCTACTTCTTGCCGGCGGCCTTTGCGTTCTTCTGCGCCGGCGCCTTCTCGGACACGGCGCCCTCGGACATCCACTGGAGGTCTGCGTCGCCGAACGCGCTCTTCTGCGCGCCCTTCTGCCCTGCGCCCTCGAAGCGGCGGCGGAATCGCCCCACACGGCCCTCCTCCACGCCGTCCCCGACGCCACGGCGCTCTGTGCCCGGCGCCCACAGCGGGTTGTTCGTCACGTCACGCGTCATGCGCAGGATCGCGGGCGTCGGCGCGGTCGAGTACGACGTGAATGTGCTCCCGTCCGAGAGGACGACCTTCTGCGGGAACAGCGGCGGGAGGGGGTTGGGCAGCGCGACCTTGGGCTTGAGGTGGTTCTTGGATGTCCATGGCGTTGGGGGACGCTGGTACGATGCCGCGCGCGAGGAGGAGGCCGAGCCCACGGCGCTGCGGAGACCGCGCGAGAGGGGAGTGGATGGGCGGGCGAGGGACATTGCGACAGAGGACGGGATGGGGGAGGGGGGGCGGGGGCAGGGACTATGCCGTTTGAAAAGCGGGGGGTTTTCGGTCGTCGGCTCGTGTGTCGCGCGGCGTGGGCGTGGGTGGTTCGGCGTGGTTGACGGGGTGGATGTTGTTGAGGGCTCGGCGACAGACATTTTCCAGCCAGCTCGGAGGATCGCAGGATATCGGCGTCCACCGTGGGATACTGGTTCACGTGGGCGGAAGTGGAGGTGAGTCAAGCTGTATTTTGACATCGAGGCGGCGGTGTCCTCATTTCGACTTCTCTTGCATGCTTGCCGCGACATCGCGCGTCTCCTTCTTTAGTCTAGAGCAAAGGCTGCTCTGTATTCATTCATCACGCGTGCTCGCGACTCCCTTTGCCCCCTCGCCCCCCTCAAGCCCTTCGCCCAAGTCGTCCCGCACCCTCACCACCACTCCGCCTACAATGGCCAATTCACAGTACGAATACGTCAAAAGCTATGAGCTTCCCGACCCACTCATGCCGAACACCTTTGCTGTAATTCGCGTCGATGGTCACGCGTTCACCAAGTGCGTAATGCTCTGGCCGCACTTACATTAGGTTCTGTCACGCACACGAGTTCGAGAAACCGAACGACATCCGCGCGCTGGATCTCATGAACCGCGCAGCCAAGGCGGTGATGCAGGAGTTCCCGGATATTGTGCTCGCGTTCGGCGAGAGTGACGAGTACAGCTTCCTTATGCGACGCGACGCGAGCGTGTACGGACGACGAAGAAGGTGAGCTCGTGGCGAACGAACGACAAGCTGGAGTGCTTCTGACGATCAGTAAGATCAACTCGACCGTCGCGTCCGTCTTCACGTCGAACTATGTCTTCTACTGGAGCGAGTTCTTCCCCAATACACCTCTGAAGTACCCACCAACCTTCGACTCTCGCGTTGTCCTCTACCCTTCAGCGAAGGAGGTGCGGGACTACTTCTCGTGGCGGCAAGTGGACAGTAAGCTAGTCTGTGGGGGCCTAGCTCACGCCAGCCCACATAAACAACCTTCACAACACGTGCTACTGGGCGCTGCGGCACGACGGTGTGTCGGGCACCGAGGCCACTAAGCTCCTAGAGGTAGGAGAAACGCACTGACTTTCGTATCTAATTTGCAGGGCACATTCTCCGATAACAAGAATGAGCTGCTCTTCTCCCGCTTCAAGGTCAACTACAACAATTTGCCCGAATACTTCAAGAAGGGCTCAGTGCTCGTACGGACCGACCCCAGATTGACGAAGGGCCCATCGAAGCGTGATGAGCCGGGACCGAGCTTGGAAGATACAGAAGCTTCTGACGCCGCGACGCCGGAAGTTTCGGGGTCTCTCACTCCAGAGATCTCACAAGGCGAGCAGACAGCTGCGGCATCCTCACCAGTGCCGTCCAACCCGCCTGCAGGGACGCCGAAGAAGAAAGAGAAGAAGAAGAAGGCACCGAAGCCCTTCGACGGGCGGTCGGGCCCAATAGTCATCCTCCACACCGACATCATCAAGGAGAAGCCATTCTGGGCAGAGCGCCCATGGCTCCTCGAGTGAGGCGCGCCCACCCCGGCCGGAGCTTGTGCCTTCGCTTCAGTCACCTACCACCTCCTACTCCGTCCTCTCTGCCTGCACGCACCATGCATCTAGCAGCTCCCAGCCCATAGACAGATACATACAAACTGCATGCATAGTCGCCGACATCGGGACAAGAATAGCATTAGCCGATAAATGCTCCCGCGCTCGGCCGAGCCCGAGGAACCTGACTCAAAAGTCGCTCCCTCCACTTGTGTTTGTTGCCCATCACCCTCCAAGCCATGTCTCAACCTGCCGCGCTCGACAAGCGCGACGAGCCCGTCGCCGCCGCCGCGGCTGCGGCCGCACCGACAAGAGTCCCGCTTTCCCTCGGCGAGATGTTCATGGTGGGCGGTTTGGCGGGGTGCGCGGCTGTCACCGTCAGTGAGTCGCGATGGTGGGCCGGGATGGACAAGGGAGGGAGCGGTGGTGGATGCGGGTAGGAGGGTGAGGAACAGGAGATTGGTGGAGGAGAGCGAGCTCTGATCTCTCTGACCACGCTATGCTGGTTCGCGTAGTCTCGATCTCTCGAGTCCAGGTGATCTCGAGGCGACTAACCACTTCCACCCGAGTCATCTCACCAACCATCTTCCTTCACGCATACTCAGTCACCAACTTTTCCTTGCTCCTGCATTCACCAGCTATGCTGACACACAGCCAACGTCGCCGAGACGATGAAGACGCGTCTGCAGCTGCAGGGCGAGCTGGTAAAGGCCGACGCGAACGCGCCACGCGTGTACAAGAACGTGTGGGACGTGTTCCGCAAGACATGGCGGAACGAGGGCATCCGCGGCCTGCAGCGCGGTCTGCTCCCGGCGTACGGATACCAGATTCTCCTGAACGGATCGCGTCTGGGTGAGTGAGCGAAAATTGTGGCATCGGGCGAGCTGGCTCGTTAGGACGTTGCTTTGCCAAGCTGCCCATGGTGGGGTCAGGAGCTCGTGTGGCCATGCCCCCGGCGCGAAACACATCTGACAGCAGGATTCTACGAGCCTGTGCGGCATATCATCAACCGCACGGCCGGGTATGTCCCGGACGCCGGCGTAGCATGGACGGCCATCATGGCCGGCGCGACGACAGGGTGTATAGGCGCGACTCTTGGCAGCCCGCTCTTCCTCATCAAGGCGCGCATGCAGGCGTACAGCCCCGTCTTGCCCGTCGGTGCGCAGCATTACTACCGCAACTCGTGGGATGCGCTGAGCACGATTGTGCGCGCGAACGGCATCAAGGGGCTGTACCAGGGTGTCTCGGCGGCCATCCTCCGAACGGCGTGTGTAAGTCTGGCGAGCGGGCGGATGAAGACCTTCAGAGGCGCCAGGAGAGGCTAACAGCAGGGCTCGTCGGTTCAGCTCCCGTCGTACAACTACTCCAAGTACATCTTCAAGAAGTACGGCATCATCAAGAATGATGGCTTCGCGATGTACCTCGCCGCATCAGGCGTGTCGGGCGTGGTTGTCGTGAGTGATCCGCGGTTTATCGATCGAGACAAGCTGACATCAGTGCGCCGCCATGCAGCCCGCAGACACTGTTCTTACGCGCATGTATAACCGTGAGTTGCGCTGATTACTGCATGGAGTGGATTTGACTGCACTCTTGCCGACGGCAGTCCTCCATCCTTCGCTCAGCCCCGCTGACCGTAGAAAACACCGTCACCGACCCCGTCACCGGCAAGACGCGCGGCGCGTTGTACTCAAACCCCATTGACTGCCTTTGGAAGACGTTCAAGACCGAGGGCATCAAGGGGTGGTACAAGGGTATGTCTGCGACTCCATTCACCGCTTACACCAGGCACCACCGCGCACTTCCTTCGTATCGCCCCGCACACGGTCATCACGCTCGTCGCCAACGAGCTCATTGGCAACGAGTACAAGCGCATCACGGGGCGCGGGTAGGCGGCTCTCGATCCATTCAGTTCTTTTGGTGTACTCTTTGTCTCTATACCCTGTCAGCAATAGAAACTGGGCATGCATGTGCATCACAAGGCTCGCCGAGGCTGCCGGCAGTGTGGCTGTCTGAGTGACATCTGCTATGTCGCTGGCGCGCTTGGGAGCTCAGAGTCTGCGCTGGAAGCGCGCAAGGCCTCCTGGCGCCAGCGGTAGCACTGCTGCTGATCCTACAAAGTGCCGTATGGCAAGCAATCGACGTGATCAGCCACTAGAAGTCGGTCACGCCCGCCTGGCTTGGGGCAATGGACTGCGTGTCGTCGTCGCCGGCCTTGTAGCCGAACGCATACGACGAGATGGCGTCCGACGGCGTAACGGAGCCGATGGACAGCTTGCGAGGACCAAGGCCCTTCTTGTCCCCGATCGCGCCGAGATTGCCGCTGTTCAGCGCCGGTCCGGGCGGTAGACGGTCGTACTGCGAGAACGCAATGCTCGACGCGCGCGACGACATGGGTGCCAGCGCATGAGTACTGTCCACAGTCGACTCGGCAGGCTGCTGCGAGATGACGGACGATGCGTAGCCCGTGTACGACATTTTCTTGCCTCCGCCGATCGCCGACAGGGGAAACGCCTGCGACACCACCGACTGGGCGTCGGGCGACACGTAGGAGATCGTGTCATGTGTGCGGTAATATGCGGGGTCAAAGCGACTGGGCTGCGCGGCAGCGGCGACGTTGCGCTGGGCTATTACAGTCAGTCATGTTCTAAGATCGCCTACTCACCCTTCTCGATGTACTCGTTGGCGGGGGTCTCGAAGCGGCGGTACTGATTCATTGCGCCCGAAAGGCTCTTCTTCGGCTTGCTGAACTGCATCATGCAAGGCTGCATGTTGCTGAGCGGACCTTCGACGAAGCACGACTTGTCCTTGAAGTGCGTCAGAAGGTAGAGCCAGAGCGGGTGCTTGCTGAGGATCTTGGGATTTCCGAGGATAACGAAACCGTACTTGGCGCGGGTGAGCGCGACGTTGAGACGGCGGGGGTCGTTGAGGAAACCGATACCCTGGTGCTCATTGGAGCGAACACAAGAGAGGATGATGTAGTCCTTCTCGCGGCCCTGGAAGGCGTCGACGGAAGCGACCTCAACTTCCTTGTACAGATCCTTCTTGAGCGAGCCGTGCAGCTGCATGTAGGAGGAGATATACGAGCGCTGGCCTTCGTACGGTGTGATGACACCGATCTGCGCGGGGAGAACGCCCGACTTGAAGAACTTGGTGACAATCTTCTCGACGCTGGAAGCTTCGGTGCGGTTGAGGAACGAGGTGCCGCTGGACGAGATCTCTTCGGTGCCCGAGTTGGTGTGGAAGAACATTGGGGTATCGGTGACAGGCCAGGGAAAGTCGACGTTCTTGCGGAGACGCTCGGGCGCGGTGACACCGTTCTGGAGGGAGCCCTCGTAGAACATGTTAGAGGGGAACTCCGAGAGGCAGGGGTGCATGCGGTACTGCACCTGCAGGCGGATGGGGCGGTTGCCGAGGACAACGAGGCGCTCGAAAAGACTTTGCGACAGACCAGCACGCGCAGCCTTCTTGTTCATGATGACGGGACCGAGCTGCTGGTGGTCACCGATCAGTACGGCCTGCTTGCAGCCCATGACAAGCGGAATCATGCACTCGGGCTCGGCTGCTTGCGTTGCCTCATCGATGAGCACAGTGCGGAACTTGAACTTCGCTAGGCGTGGATCACCAGCACCAACACATGTCGTGCAGATGACATCTGCCGCGTTGAGGATGTCGCGCTCGCACGCGCGCACAAGCGACTTGTACTTGCGCTCGTCGCTCTGGCTGAGTTCGCCCTGGTCATTACGCAGCTGAATGAGTTTCTGGAGCTCGGGACGGGTGTCATTGTTGGCGACCTGGTTGTGTAGCGCAAGGAAAGCGACCGACGAGTCGAGTGCCTCACGCGACTTGGCGGCAAGACGAACGACCTTGAGGCCCGTCTGGTGGATCTTCTCGCACAGGTGGTCGACGGCGACGTTGGACGGAGCGCAGACAAGCACTTGGCCGGGGTTCATCTTCGCGAGGTGATAGACGATGGAGGCGGAGGTGACCGTCTTACCAGTACCAGGAGGGCCCTGAATCAAGCTAAGCGGTTTCTGCAACACGGCTTTGACGGCGGCCATTTGGGAATGATTGAGCTCAGGAAGGTTGGGAGCAGTAAAACGCTTAGGCATCTGTGTGCGGAGCACCTGTGGCTCAAGCTCGTGGCCGAGAAGCTTGTGATACTGTTGTCAGCAAAGCTGGTAGCTGTCTAACTCACGATGTAGCCGGACACGCTCTTCTCGTCGATAGCAAACGTCCGCATCGCCGCCTGCATGCGGTCGAAGCTGGTCGCCTTCCACACAAAGTCGACAGCGAAGCCGTGAGTGCAGTCGATTGGCACATTGTCAGAGCGGCGGAGCTCGAGGCAGATCTCGTCATTGGCGTCTGGTGTCAGCTTTGTAACCGCGGGTCTAGCTCACTGTTCGGCACCTTGATGACACTGCCGATGCCCTCCCACATGTTGCCAGTCGAGGCTACCGACCACCCCTTGAGGTTGGCACCGACCATGCGGAGACGGAGCTCATCGCCAACGGCGAGGCGCACCTCGCCGCTTTCGAGCTTGGGCATGCAGAACCATGCGAGACGCTTGTGGTTGAGACCCATATCCCATCGGACGGTGATGTCGCTCTCGCCCTGCGACTCCTTCATGCGCTTGTCATAATCCGCCTCGATCTTGACGAGCGGGCCGAAGATGTTCTGGTACTGGTACGCGTCCTCGTATCTGGCTGTCAGATGCCAAGCGTAATGTCTAGCTCACCTGATAAGAATAGGCTGCATCTCCTCCTCGCCAGATTGGGCCTCGGTGTCCTCAAGACTCGCGTTGGGGTTGTTGCGCCACAACTCCTCGAGCTTGGCGATCTGGGCCATGGAGAGCTGACGCGCACGAAGCTGTTCAGCCTCGGAGGGCACCCTAACGAGCCACGGGAGGAAAGAACGCTCATCGATGATCGGCTGCCACTGGGAAGTGTCCCAGTTGATGTCGCGTGAGTTGGTGAGTGACGCGCACGGTTGACTGGATGTTAGGATGGAGCGCGGAGCAAGCCAGCTACTCACCGACAAAGAAGGACAACAACGGTGTCGCTCTTGGCAGCGATGTATCCGAGAAGGAAGACATTCTTACTCCCACAGTTGTAACCTGGTATTAGCGCTCCTCCCGTCGTGGACCTAACATTCTGGAGTGGTCTCGCTGAGCTCGCCGTCCTTATGGAGGATGACTTCCTTGTGCTTAGCCTTGACTAGGTGATTGACGATATGTGACGCCGAAGTGTTGCCGCGCGAGTTGCAAAACCACTTGTTGCACTGGAGACACTGCTTCGTCAGCGCGAGCTTCCCCTCGCTCTTACCTTCGCGACACATTTGGGGTTGTGAATACCGCAGTAGCTTCCAGTCAGCGTCTCCCTCACCTCTCCTCCCCAATGGCAAAACACACCTGCAGGCATGCTCGATGCCGTAGCCGAACGGCTGCTCCTCGCGGAACTCGTCCCCCTCATAGTAGTCCATCATGGCGCTGCTGTGGTGCAGCGAGCTGAGCGACATGACGTCGGTCGCGCGATCATGGCTGGCGCGTGCGGGCGGCACCAGCACCTGCTCGGTGAGGTTGCTGGGCGTAGCCGAGTATATCGACGTGGTGTCGTCCTGATCGACGCCATACTGGGCATCAGCGGTGGCGAGAGGCAAGAAGAGCCAGGCGCAGCGCAGCGCAACACGTACCTGTGACGCGCCTTCAAAGGTGGTGAAGGGGTCCATGGCGGAGCTGGTGGCCGGGATCAGGCCACACTGGGTATCGCTGAATGTATGTTGGGTAAAAGAAGGAGGGATGTTGTGGGATGACAACAGCAAAAGTGGATGGCGCGTCTGAGTGGAGGCGACCAGTTGCTGGTTGCTAGGTGGCGATTGAAAACGCCGAAATAGAACTCTTCGCATCGGTAATTGGTTGCCGTCGCTGTACTAATACGGTGTTACGGCTCGGTAAGTTGAAGTTGCACAACATCACAATGTGTCAGTAGGCAAAGTTCGCATGTCTGCACCGCATGCAATAGTCTAGTTTTACAAGGAGATGTACGAGGGTCCGTCAGAGGGGATATTGAGCTTGGCAATGTCCGCGATGAGGTCCATGGTGCCCTCGGCCCAGCCGACCTCGTCGTGTCCGCCGAAATCGCCCTCCCACCAGATGACCTGGCGACCACGCGGGTTCGAGATGCGGAGCGTGCCCCAGCCCTTGTAATCGAGAACGAAAGGCTTGGGGATCCCAGCCTCGGTGCCGTTGGGCGCGACGAGTGACTCGAAGATTGCTGCAGAGTGCGAGTGGGGCACAACCTTGTCAGCCTTGGTGTGGACAATGAGCGTAGGAGCCAGAGTGCGCTGCTGTCAGCAATTTCGCGTACACAGAAACTAACGCTGAGCGCCTCGACCGAGTTAAAGCGGACGCTAATGAGGGACTTGAAGAAGTCTGCTGTCAGTGTACTTAGGTCAACGGCCACTGACTCTGAATGGAGGGGAAATGTCCCAAGGGCGAAAGCAGAGGAATGACACCAAAGAGATAGAACCTGGAGTGAGTCAGCGGTCATGCGGGTCATCTTACGAGGACAGAAGATCGGGTATTGACGAGAACGGAGTGATAAGAACCAGCGCCTTGGGAACGATGCCTGCTGTCAATTGTGGCAACCCGATGACTCACGATCATCAGCGAGAAGGCCAGTAAGCGCAGACGCCACGCCCGTCCCGAGGCTGTGACCCATGAGAATGATCTGCTTCTCGGGCACGCCCTTGCCGGCAGCCTTGACCTGCTTTGCGATCCAGTCGTATGCGGCCCGCGCGTCGACCTTCAGCCCCTCCTCGGACGGCTCGCCGCTCGAGTCCGCAAAGCCGCGGTAGTCGACAGCTACGACATTGCTGCAGTTAGCATGGCGGAGTAAGTTTGGGTGAGTTCACAGATCGAGGACGCTCGAGAGAGCTGCGTACGTGCGTACACGGTGCGGCGCGGCGCGCGTGGCAGCCTGCTGTTAGCTCTGGGGTTAGTGCAACTCACGTTGCCGTGGAAGTAGAGGACAGTGGGGCGGGCGCCAAACGCATTCGCGAACACGTCCTCGGAGAGGTCAGACTGCGGAGGGAAGGGCGCCTGCTTCATGTAGTACGAGTTCGGGCTGCTGTCAGACGTGCTAGACCCGTCGCTCACAGGACATGCCACGCGCCGAGCGTCTCGCCGTCTGGTGTGGAGATGGCGAAGTTGCGCGTCTTGAAGGCTGCGGTAAGTTTATGTCGGCTGATGCAGCATGCAGCTCACGGGCGAGGCCGTACGCGTGGGGCGCGTCGTACTTGGGGAAGAAGGGGAAGCGGATCCAGTGGAGGTAAGTGAGCCTACTATCAGCTCTTGTAATACACGCCGACCCACTCGCGCTGGACCCAGGGAACAGTGGCGAGGAGCAGCACAACGCCGTATAGCCCTCCGAGGAGGAGGGGTAGGAACTGGGCACGCCGGAGCAGCGTCTGCGCCGACGACATGGTGTGATGCTAAGGAACGGAAGGGTGTGGACAGCCAAACTCGGAGTATGCCGATCATCGTCATGTCAAGGATCGGCGGTCACCGGAATCAAACACATCCTCATTCACAGCTGATTCGCTTCATTGACAGACCGCAGCTCACGACTCTCCCCGCCGCCCTCCCACCTACGCTAAAAACAATCTATGCCATGCAAATGCTAGTCTACTCCGCAACAATGTCTTCGCGCTTGGGCTTGATCTCCTTGACATCCTTGAGATCTTTGGAATGGCGGATGTCGCTCCCCTTGTCGAGGAGGTCGGTGGCCTCGTCGAAGAGCACACCGAGACCCAAGGCGTCCTCCTGCGCGAGCTCGAGCACGTGGTCGAGCTCGACCATCCCGTCTCCGTCGGGGTCTAGCTTCTGTCCGATCTCCTCGATGATCTCGTCGGGCGGGGGGTGGGCAATCACACGCAGCGCACCGAACAAGTCCTTCTTCCGGATCTGGCCCTTGGCGTTGGTGTGGATCAAGTTGAGGCTCGATCCAACGCGCTCGTCGTATTTCTCGAGCTGAGCGTCGATCTTCTTGATCATGCTGCGCACGCGCTTCGAGAGAGCAACCGACTTGGAGTCGGCCTCATCCGGGTTCTCCTTCGAGCGGGCCTCAGAGAGCAGGTTGTCCTCGAAGAGCGCGGCGAGCTCGTTGCGCTCCTTCGCAATGGACGACTTGGCGGTGAGAATGGAAAGGGCCTCGGCCAGCTCGTTGAGCTGCTCCTTGGTCATCTTGGCGGCGTCGGGCTTGGGCTCCTCCTGTACAGGCTCCTCGGCCTTGGCCTTGGCCTCGGGGGCGGCGTCGGCGACCTTAGCGTCGGTCGTGGGAGCGGCGGCAGGGATAGGTGTGGCACCGTCCGTCACGGGGATGACAGGAGGCTCATCAGCGCCGGTGGCCTTGGCCTCGATGGCCTTCTCGGCAGCCTCGGCCTCGGCAGCAGCCTTCTCGGCGGCCTTGGCCTCGCGCTCTGCCTCCTTGGCAGCCTCCTCGGCCTCCTTCCTTTCCTTGCGGGCCTCGGCCTCTTCCTTCTCCTGGACGGCCTCCTCCTCAATGAGCTCCTGCTGCTGCTGGAGAACCTCGAGCTTCTGCTTGAAGTCGACGTCGTCCTTGTACTGCGCGAGCTCGGTCTCGTCAACCAGGCTCTCCGGAAGCGAGGCGAGAGTCGACACCAGCGAGGGAAGGACGTCCTCAGTCTTGCCGCCAAAGTTGAACGCACGCGAGAGAATAAGCAGAACGCCAGAAATCTTGTTCATGTAGTGCAGGTCGATCCACTGCTCAAGCTCCTCGCGGAGATGAGCCGGGGATGTGCCCTGGAACCGGATACCACGGGACTGGCACGCCTGTTGGAGTTCCTTGGTCGAGAGTGAGTCAACGCCCTCAGCGTGGATCATCATATCATCGACGCGAATCTTCTCGATACGCGAGCGAATCTGGTGCTTGAGGAAAGTGTCGGTGCCAAAGGCGTGGATGTTCATGTACTTGCAGACAGATACGAGCTGAGCGCGCGACAGGTTGTCGAGTGTGATCTCCGAGTCAAAAAGCTTAGCGACGCGGATAATGTCATCGTGAGACGGGTTCTCGCCGGTAGACCGAACCTGATTATCAGAAAGGCCCCTCGGGACGTATCGCGACCTACCTTGCGGAAAAACTCCTTGAACTCATCCGAGCGCACAACCTGGTCAGCCTTGAGGCCAGTGTCCTTGACAGTCTCCTGGAGGAACTTGGCCATCTCAAGACGGACACGAAGCAGCTTACGCTCCTTCTCCTCCTGCGGGGTTAACCACGTCTTTCAGACGGTTGCTCACCTTGGCTAGCTGACCCTCGAATGTGCTCGGAAGCATGTTGGGGAAGAGCTTGAGCGCGACGGGAAGAAGCAGCTCCATGAACGGAATAATGATGAAGACGGAGAACGGGAGGAGACGGAGAAGGTCGGTGGTGGTGCGGCGCAGCTGACGGCGCTCACGGCGCGTCAGCGAACCGCCCTGCAGAACCTTCCACTGGAGCTTGGACGAGATCTTGATCTCTTGGCCGAGGAGCTTGGTGCCGGCCCAATAGTGCGCGGCTTCCTTCTTGACAACGGCCCAGGCGCGCTTGTGCCATGGCCCCGTCGGCTTCTTCTTCTCCTTGGCGGGAACCTTGCTATCGGGCGGAGCGAGCGCCGTTTCGGCCGCCTGCTCGGCGGGGACGGGCGGCGTGGGCGCCGGAGAGCCGGGAGGGGGGACCTTGACGACAGCTTGCTCAGCCTTGAGAGGCTGGCCGGTAACAGGGGGCGGAGTTGAGGTGGACGTAGACGTGGTCGTAGACTGGGTAGAGGTCGAATAGAAGCGGGGGACATGACGAAGACCGAGAGCGAGAGGGCTGGGGATGCCAACCGTCTGGAGCGCGAGGGAGAACGGTGTGTGTGGCGTCGCCAACCGGGACATGTTGGCGCGGCGTCCGGCCATGGCGCGCCTCCCGAGGGGGCGGACGCCGGACGCAGTGGCTCGTGAGGTGAGCATTGGGCCGTGGGGCCTGTGGCCGAGAGGAGAGAGAGAGAAAGAGCCGGTTGAGGGAGGGAGGAGGGGGGTGGGAGGATGAGAGGAAGAGAGAAGAGGAGTAAGAAGAAGAATGGAAAGGAGTGTGGCGATTCGCGTGTTCAAGATTGGGATGAGGGGGACGTCACTGCCCAGTAGGGCCACCACCCAAAAGCGAGGCCCCATCAAATCGAGACCCGCATTGAATCCCCCCTCTCTTTCGCCATCGGACAGTTAGTCTGCCGCTCCTCCGACGCACAAGCATTATCAGCGACATGATCTCTCACAATCTACATGACTCATGCATGCATCAACACATGTCAGAGGGCTCATCAGCCCGTGGAGCGGTGACTGCCTCGCCGGGTGGAGGATTTTTTCCACGTCGTCGCGTCAATCCGCCGCGGTGCCTCTCCCTCCCCTTTTCCGCCACTCGCAAGCCACCACTCCGTCAGCATCTCCGGCACCCCCACATCCGCACCCGAACGCCAATGCCGAGAGGCCACGCCATACTATTAGTAGTGTAGGACATCCCGGCCGAGTGTGAGGCTGTCCGAGCGCGGGCCGTGCGCGCGTGTGATATGGGGACACGCTGCGCACGCGTCGTGCATTTTAGGGGGGAATGCATGCGCTGATTGAAGAATCGGCCACTTCGACCGGCTTACGGCTCACGGCTTCTCGGCACCTCGGTCACACGGCCTCCGCCTGATCTCCGTCCTCATCCACCTCCACCCTCCACCGGCCACCCAGTCGTTCGACCCATCTACCCATCGACGTCAACGCCATCCCATCCTCCCCAGCACTTCCTCACCGCTCTTCATCGCCATGTCCCTCTCCAACCCCATTAACGCGGCCCTCCTCCCCGCCATCCTTTTCGTCGCATACCGCATTCTCTTCCCCTCCAAGCCCACCGCCCCAGCAGTGCCATGCACCCGCTACGACCAGGGCGAGTACAACTGGGCCCCAACGAAACACCCCAAGGTGGCAGTGTACAAGGACTATGACGTGCACGAACTCTCGAAGAGCGACGGGCGGGGAACGCAGAGTATTCTCCTCGCCATCGCGCGGATCGTGGACGGTCGCATCTCAGAGCGCACCGTGTTTGATGTGTCGGCTGGCGCCAACTTTTACGGGCCAGGTGAGTGCGATGTGGGGAAGGAAGCTGATGCCAGATGGAATGTATGGAAACTTTGCGGGGCGCGACGCTTCGCGCGGGATGGCAAAGCAGTCGTTCGACGAGGGTGGGCGAGGTTATCTGAGGAAGCTGACGGACAGAGATGCTTACGGATCTGGACAAGCCCCTCGATGATCTCAAGGATTTGACACCTGCCGAGATGTGAGGGTGGAAACTCGGCTCTCCCCGTGAAAAAGCAGCTGACGATAGCGACAACATGCATGGGTGGCACGACCACTTCTCCAACAAGTACAAGGTCGTTGGGCGCCTGGTGTAGAGAACGATGGGTGTATGTATGGTTTAGCCGGCCAAGCGTGGGAGGGCTAGTGCTCACGGACGACTCACGCTCCGGAGTATGATCACAACTAATCACTCACGGCGCGCTGTGCGGGGCGCACTGATTTCAGATAGCTGCAGGTAGCCGGAGCTGTCCTACCGAGCGCTCCTCCCCGTGACAAGGTTATCTGACGCTCATCCCTGCACTATGCATCCCTCTACCTCTAGTCGTACTCCTCAACCACAGTGCCGAGACCCAGGCGCTCCGCCTCAGCCAGCACGACCGCCGAAATAGCGACATCCTGCACGCCCAACCCGACGCTCTTGAAGATATTAACGTCCCCCACGCCATTGACCTTTGCAGCGGCCTTCTCGCGCGTCGACGCATCCACAACCTCGCCGAGCTCAACGAGCTGGTCGTCGCTCATGCCCTGCAACTCGCCCGCCTCGTGCCCGCACGCCTCGCGGCTGTCGACGAGCACGACACCCGCGCGCTTGACCAGCTCGTCCTCGACCTCGCGCATATGCGGCTTGTAGCTGCCGATAAGGCACATGTGCGCACCCTTCTTCACCGGCGCGGCGGGGAAGAGGGCCTGCGTCGAGCTCGTCATTGTGCAGATGACGTCGGCGTCCGCGACCGTCGCGGCGAGGTCGAAGCCCTCTTCCGCCGTGCCGTCCGCGTACGACGCCACGCCCTGCGACACCGCCACGGAGGGGAAGTGTGCCGCGATGTCCTGCACCAGCGCCTTGGAGCGGGGCGTGGAGCGGCGCGCGACGATCGTCACTTTCTTAATCGACGGGTAGGTTTGGAGGAAGGCGCGCGCGTGCCCGTCCGCTTGCGTGCCGGAGCCGAAGATGACGAGGTGCGCCGGCGTCTGCTCGTCCGTCGCCAGTGCTTGGTACGAGAGCACGGAGCCTGCTGTCAGCTAAGAGCGCCGGAAAACATACCCGCAGCGTTGCGGAGTGCGGTCAGACGCCGCGCGTTCATGATCGCCTTCACTTTGCCCGTTTTCTCGTCCATCATGATCGTGCTGCCCGGCAGCCCGTCCGAGCCCGCACGCGGCACCGACACTATCTTGCACGACGTCGAGCCCGTCACGCGTGCCGGCATGAAGAGCATCGTCTGGTCAGGAGACGAGAGCTGGTGGCGCAGAGGGAGCTGGAGCTTGCGCACGCCGGGAGCTGGGGTCAGCGGTTGATCTAGAGGCATGGAGGAGCGGGCATTGGCGTTGGAATGAGGCCGGAATGTTGCTGTCTCCGACGCCCAGGTATGGAGCGACTCACCGTCCTCAGCATCGCCTGCGGTCGAGTATGCCGCGAACACCGCGCGCTGCGAGTCGACGGCGAGCTTCTGGTCGAGGCTGTCGAGGACCTTGTCGACGTCGGCGGAGGTGAGGATGCGGAGGGAGCGGTCGGACATTCTTCTGTAGTTGCGGACCGAGGCGGGTGGGAGGGGAGTGAGGAGAGGAGGGGAAAGAAGACGACGGAGAGTCAGAGTGCGATACAAGGACATAGATGGTGGGTAGGGACGCGGCGTCGAGCTCGCTGGCCGTTGGTCGCGAGGTTATCCACGGAGATGCGGACGGAGGTGATCGGCAATGCACGCAATGCCGAAAGTGCTAAGCGCTGACTTGGGTGGGCACTATCTCGGCCCCGATAGGCCGGGGACGGCGATACAGGGGTGAAACGGACGCGTTTTGCGTTTGGAGGCTGGAACGGAATTCGATTAATTCGACTGATAAGGCGAGGGCCCTCGTGCGGCTGGCCGCTGGTCGTTGGCCGCTGGAGGATGATGCTTGCCAAGCGGCCGTCAATCCTCCAATACCACTGCACTCGCCAAATATTCTAGATAGGCGGAAGAGGAGGGTGTTTGGTCTCACACCACTCTAAGAATGTCCTATCCTCATTGCTCATGGCGCTTTGTCAGTGACCACCTGCTCCCTTCACCTGTCTTGTGTCAAGCTGTCGGCAATGCGGCCGTCAAGTACCATAAATGCCGTCCCAGCAGCAGTACATTCAAGGGAGACCTCGCCAGGTCATAAGAAGCGAGGAAAAGATATAGCTAAAACACTTCCGGTGGCTTTGCCATGACAGGCCCGCGACTGCCAAGTGTGGTCTGTTTCTGTTTCTGGTGTCATGATAACTCAAGCAATGCTTCTATGGCTGTTCTTAAACAAACCGGACAGTGCAATCGTACTATACATGTCCCTCTCTGTATCGCTACCGCACCTCGACCACCCGCTTAGCGCTGTCTGCCTTCAAAGCGTCCTCCATATCGCTCACCATCGCGCGCACACGTTCAACACCTACGCGCACAACATCCATGATCTCGTCAGGCGAGAGTGCGCTCCCTCCAGCCTTTGAGAGCACGCACAGCTCGCGCTGCGCGTTCAACGTGATCGTCATTGTCCCGTCAGCCAGGACCTCCTCCAGATGCGTTGGATCAAGGATAGGCGGCAGGCCCTCAAAGTAGCTGAAGCTCAGGCAGAGGGGTGTGTGGTGGATTGCAAGGGGAAGGGGTGCACGTTCGTCAGGCGAGTGCTGTTGTTAGCTGCGACCAAACCCCCCGGCCAAGGCCTATGTAGCGACCGATGGACGACCGAACCGGACTCACCACAATGACATCGTCGCCAGACACTTCAACATCAGGTTTTCTGAAGTGGCGGAGCGCAGTCATCGCCGCCAGCGACGCACAGTCAAGCAGGTTGCCCGAGTCGGAGAGGAAGTGCAGTGTCAGTCGTAGGTGCCACACCTGCGGTCAGCGATTGCGTCACCCCACCCATTACCTTCTCTCCTGCGACAATGCAGAGTGCCTCGCGGTCAACGGCCTCCGTTCGTCGAATGCTCTTCTCCAGCAGCCGCGTGATCATGACTTCGTCCTCTGATGCCCTGCCGTCAGCTCCGTCACCACGCGTGGCTCACCGCCCAGCCTCGAACACATGCGACGCCATCGGGCTGATCTCGGAGTTGATCACGAGGAAGCCCTCGTACGGCTTGTCATCGCGCGGCTTGACAATAGTTGCAGCTACTTGGGCTAGAACGCTGAAGTTAGATGTTTGTAAACCGTGGTACGCACGCCGTCTTCCCCAACCGGCACTCGACGTTACCCAACTCCGGTCCAAAGGTAAGGGTGAAAGGACGCTGTTGGAGGCGCGACCGCCCGTCCAGCCGCTTGCCCTCGGCCAAAGCGTCGACGAGAAACTCCTTCTGAATAGTTGGTGGCTCGAACTCGCGCATGGTGCTGCGTTGGGGGATTGTTGATGGAGGTGGTTGCGCTTGAGCATCATCGTCAACTAACTTTTGGCGGCGAATTTGCTTCCGCCCACAACACACCCACATCCACCTCGATCCCCTCGATCAATCCACTTGCACTCGTCCACACCGCTCCATCCATCATGACGTCGCAGGACGTGCGATCGATTCTCAACTTGCCGGCGTCGGGCTCGGCGCCCACCACGTCATCTCGCAAGGCGACCGGGCCACGCAAGCCGGATGGCATCTCCCGCGAGCTCTACGCACTCATCGGCGACAACGCTCCATCGCTCGCCGAGGCGCAGGCGTCCATCGCCGCCGTCAAGTACCGGGACCGGCCAAAGCTCAAGACCAAGAAGGTTAAGTGGGAATGGACGGAGTTCACGCCCATGGCTCGCGAGGGAGAGCCTGGTGCGCCGCGACTGGGACATTGGGTGCGGGTGACGGATGAGGATCCGCACGCGCGCAACGAGTACTTCGGCGGCTTCAACCTTCACGGGCCCAGTGTAATGGAGTATTCGCAGTACGAGTACGACCAGCACCTAGTTGACCCTGGGTGGTCTGCTCACGAGACGAGCTATCTGTTCGACCTTTTGCGCGAGTACGACTTACGCTTCGTCGTCGCGGCAGACCGGTACGTCTACACTGGTGCGAAAGGGAACGAACCACCAAAGAAGCGTTCAATCGAGGAGATGAAGGACCGGTATTACACCATCTGTCGCCGCCTTATTCGCACACGCACTGCCTCCGATCCTGCGGTCCAGCAGCAGCTCATTACCCAGTATACGTTTGACAAGGGTGAGTTACGAATTTCATCCAAATCTGACAGCAGCTCGCGAGATCAAGCGCAAGCAATACGCTTCCGAACTGTTCCACCTCACAGCGGCGGAGATCGCCGAAGAGGAGGCGCTGTATCTCGAGGTGAAGCGGTTAGAGCAGAACGAGCGCCGCTACCGCGCCGACCGTGACTCTCTCATGCGCTCCGTGATCGGGCTGGACAGCGGGCTGGTGTCCTTGGAGCAGAAGAATGCAGAGGGCGTCCACGGCCTTGGGAACAAGAAGAAGCGTCGGCCCGAAGAAGACAGCGGCGTCGCATCACCCGCTCCTCCCACCAAGAAGCAGAAGGACCAAGCGGCATACGATGCCGCCAACTGCATCTACCGCGTGCCCGCACCAACGCCGGCTCCCAACTCTTCTCATCTGGCTACCAAGCACCCCGCTCACGTCCCGGTCTACCTCCGCAGCACCAAGATGCCCCTCCCGAAACCCAACACGGCCATTCGCGTCACCGAGCTCCTCGCCGAGATGGGCGTCAGCACGGCGCGGCTCGTCATGCCCACACGTACCAACTTGGAGGCGTACGACGGAGTCCTTCAGGCTGCTGCGAGCTTAGTCGACATGAAGCGTCAGGTCGACCGCGTCGAGCAGGAGATCCGCACGCTCAAGGCGCAACGCGACGGTGGGTACGTACCGCCGGTCGACGTGAGCCGCAAGCGCTCCGAGTCCGTGCTGAGCACCGACACGTCGACGACGAATCGTCGCAGTCGCGCTCCGTAGCCAGTGAGATCATGGCGTGGCGTATATGAGACGACGGTGTTGTATTGCATGTATTGTGTACTCGTGCGGTGACTGCAAAAGTCGTGCTTCGACATTCCACAATCATGATCAGGACTCGAATCGCGTCACGCGTCATCACAAGCTTGAAATCATGACAAGCCCTCCCTTCTGCACTTCTACCTTTCTCATTGCAACATGTCCCAACGCACTCACCACATCGCGCGCGCCTGGTCGATTCTGGAGGAGCGCGAACTGTCGCGCTCTATGTACGCGCGGCAGCTCGGCACAGGCCCAGAGCAAGTGTTCTACAGCACCAAGGCTGCGCGGGCACGTGCAAACGTAGCAGCGAACCGATACTCTAACGTCCTTCCTTATGACCGTGCCGCCGTCGCGACGGAGGAGGGCGCGTATGTAAACGCTAGCGTGGTGCGCGCAGGTGGCGAGTGGTGGGTAGCTGCCCAAGTACGTCTCAACCATCCATCACCCCCTCTCGCATCAACCTCCTCCATTCACCTGCATTGGCTGACGACAGGCGCCCGTTCCGGACAACTTTGCAGCCTTCTTCCGCGCCATTCTCTATCGCACCGCCTCGCAACATCCTCTCATTACTCCCTTACGTCCGAAGAAGAGCAACCACGCCATTCTCGTCCAGCTCACGGGCTGGAGCGAGCGCGGGTCGCCCAAGGCGGACGACTACATGCCGTGAGTTCGGTGGCTGGCCAAAGGCTGACGGCAGAAAGGATAGCCTTACCTTCCATCACCCAGTTGGCAACGTGCATCTGGACCGCAAGACCAGCTTGACGAAACCCAACCTCGGTGCCGAGTACACCGAGATGATATTGGCGGACGTGGACAGCGCCATGACAGTTCATCACTACTTCTACGGCGCCTGGCCCGACCACGGGGTGCCAGAGGGCAAGGCGTTGGCTCAGCTGCGTGGGCTCGTGCGCGAGGTGCGGCAGCTCGCGGAGAAGGAAGGGTGTGAGGTCTGGGTCCATTGGTGAGTGCAGGGTGCTAAGATCTGTACATCTGACTTTGACGGTGACGTCTCAGAGGCCATCAGACAGGAGAGAGTGAGAGGTACACCACAGCTGACCGTAGCTCCGCTGGAGTTGGACGCACCGGGACGTTCATCATGCTCTTGTCGATGCTCGACCGCCCTCCTTCGAAAGGGGAGGATGAGGCGCCTTTCAAAACTCCGCTCGGTGACCTCAAGATGGAGCCCGCCGACCCAATTGCGCGCCGCGTCGACGCCATTCGCGAGTACCGCTGCATGTTGGTTCAGACGCCACAACAGCTGGCGCTGCTTTACACCATGATGGGTGTATAGGCTGACGACCCCCGAGAATGAGGCACCTGAATGCGCTGTGGGCTCTACTCATGGTGAAATTGAGCGTTCAGGCCCTACGAGCTGCGAGCACCTGCGACTGTATAGCAAGCTGGCTTGCTTCCCTTCACTAGTTATGTAGCATACTTCTTCCAAGCATGGATCTCATCTTTGAGTCGTATCCGGAGCAATGACACTCGTAGTCCTCTTGAGCATTCATGGCTATCTCGGCTTTCATTGGGCGGGGGTGACGTGAACGGAACGCGTTCCCCAAATCAAAATGACGATATCACTTCCACCGGTCCCCGTTGCCTTCCCCCTCCGCTCCCACCACCACGGCCACCACTTGCCATCTTGTCATCGCTCATCGCTCCGTGATATCGCTTCATCTGCAAAATGTTCGCCGCATGCACTCTCCCGACTCTCCGCGCCGCGCGTAACCACGCCGTGAGTCGCCCACCCATTCCTTCCTCAGCGGGGCAGCTGACCGCGTCGACCATCATATCGGTGATCTCAGCGGCGGCGCCTCCCCGTCTCTCTTTCAGCTATCCATAAACTAGTCTGTCGCTGACATCAGTCCCGCCAGGCGCGCGCGTACGCCACAGCGCCCCAGCAGGGCGGCGGCTCGAGTGAGTTTCTCCACGATCTCCGATGTCAACTGACGCACAGACGTGGGCATGATCTTTGCCCTGGCCGGCGTTGTGAGTGTCAACCGCCCGTCTGCAACGGGGTGACGCGTGGTGCGGCATGTAGTATCGGCAGTTCTCAACTGACCGGGGTGTGACTGCGTTGTGGAATGATCACCGCCGAGTGTGTGCCCACCACGCCTCGCCAATGCGTCTGCCTCTTCTAGGCCGCGCCTTCATGCTCCGCTTGCTTACACCAGGCCGGTCTCGGGTACCTCGCGTACGACAACCTCGGCCGTGGCGGTGCCAAGGGCAAGTCGCTCGAGAACTACCTTGCCTCGGCGGACCCCGCGCTCTGGGCTCAGACTAAGCCTGAGAACCCCGGCATCGACGGGTGCGTAACTCTTTCCTTGGGTTGTGGCTGGCGCCCAGATAGCCACCTCGCCTTCCATCCTCTGCTGCCCGCTGATGCTTCAGTAAGACATGGACTCCTGTTAAGGTGAAGGCGGTCCAGCACTACAACGACAACACCGCGATCTATGAGCTCGCCTTCACCGGCGAAGGTGCCGACCAGAAGACCTCAGGCCTTACCATCGCCTCGTGCCTCGTTGTTCGCTCGCCTGAGGGTGAGAACGCCGTCAAGGACGACAAGGGCAAGCCCGTCATCCGCCCGTACACTCCTGTCTCGCCCCCCGGACACAAGGGCTCGCTCGACCTCATCATCAAGAGCTACCCCGAGGGCAAGATCTCCAAGTGGTTCGCGAGCCTCAAGCCCGGAGACGAGGTGCTGCTCAAGGGCCCCATCGTCAAGACTGAGTACCAACCCAACGCTGTTGACAAGGCTGTGTTCGTCGCTGGTGGCTCGGGCATTACCCCTGCCTGGCAGCTGATCAACCACGCCCTCGCGCACCCGGACGACAAGACCAAGTTCACTCTCCTTTACGCCAACGTCACCGAGAAGGACATCCGTGAGCCTGCTCTCCAAGGTCAAACTGACGAAAGTTCTGCGTAAGGAGTGGGATGCTCTCGCGGCTAAGCACCCGGGCCGCCTGCAGATCGTCTACTTCCTCGACAACGCGCCGTCCGGCTGGAAGGGCGAGACCGGCTTCGTCACCGCCGAGCACATCAGCAAGTACTTCCCCCGCGGCGAGGGTGACAAGGTCAAGGCGTACGTCTGCGGCCCTCCCGGGCAGTACAAGGCGATCTCGGGCGCCAAGGACGGCATGAAGCAGGGTGAGGTTGCCGGTGCTCTCAAGGACCTCGGCTACACCTCTGAGGAGGTGTTCAAGTTCTAAGTGCGAGCCCTTGGGTGGGTGCGAGTGCCCCGCACCGTCGCTAGTCTCAACAGTAGCAGCTTAGAGCTCAGAAGAAGACAATGCATAAAAGTACATACAGAGGGTCTATGCGGGAGAGCAAAGGGAGGCTAGTACATGATGGTCGAGCCCTCATCTTCCCAGTTCGTGCCAGGGGATCGCTCGCGGCTCTGTTCTTGCAATGCAGCCTTGGCGGCGGCAGCTTCGCGCTCTGCCTCACGCATCTCCTCTGCCTGTGTGACGTTGTAAACGGCGGCGCGGTACTGGTGTGAGCTCAGCAGATGGTGCATGGCTTTTTCCAGGTCTAGCGGGCGATGCAATGAAGCAAGCCGTCAGCCAAAACTCACCATCGTCAATACGAGCTTCATCTCCTTCTCGAGCTCACGCAGCTCTTCCAAAAGCCTTGAGTTGGGCTTGTCGAGAGTCTGACGAACCAGTGCGGTGATCTGACATGAGCTTCTGTCTCATCACGCCTTGCATTGCAGCTTCACGTACCCGCTTGACCTTGTCCGCCAGCTTGGCATATTCCCAGAGCACCTCAGCCTCGAGAGGAGAGAGCTGGGGGTGGCCCGCGCTTGCGTCAGCCCAGCCATAGATACACAAAGAGAGACATACTATGGGTTTGTGGTATTGATGGACATGACGGTATGGGCAGAGCAGAAAGTGTCAACAAGCGCGTCACGGGCGGCCGGCACGCGTCCATCAGGAGGCCAGGAACGGAGGTGGTGCGGAGACGGAGACGGAGGTATCTCCGCTGAGTCGGGCGCTGAGCCGGGCGGCCAAGGCACACCGTTCCCCATTACTACTGACGTCGTCCCTCACTATCCCCCCACAGCGCCATACGACTGCCTTCCTCCAGCCTCCAGTCAGGCCATCAACTTTCTCCGCATCTCTTCTCTTCCACTTCTACATCTCCTCATCTCTCTCTTCTTCTTTCTCTCTTCTTCAACGGGCCTATCAGCCCATCTGCACGTCATCGATACCCCCATGCTCTGCTGAACACGCACTCCCGACCCAATTCCACCCCTCACCACCACTAGCCCCTCCATCCTATTCTCCCTCGCACCCACCGCAACATGCAGTACTTGTCCAAGGCGTACAACTACTGTGAGCTTACTCCTGCGCCAGGAGCTTACTCCAGACTCGGGGATCAACCCGGCAACGCTGTCCGGTGCCATCGATATCATCGTTGTGCGCAGCGTAGATGAGGTGAGCTAATGGCTTGATGGGAGCAATTGGGTTTCACTCCGGCCTTCCAATCCCGGATTCCTCCCACCCATCAAGGTGTCGAGCTCCCCCCGCTAACAGCAGAATGGAGAGGAGCAACTAGCTGGCTCACCCTTTCACGTTCGCTTCGGCAAGCTGCAGGTGCTGCGCGCGGGCGAGAAGCGCGTTACCCTGCGCATGCCAAACAACCTTCCCGCCCCACATATCGTGCCATTCAGCATGAAAGTCAGCGAAACGGGCGAGGCCTTCTTCGTGCTTGAGACCGAGGAGGAGGTGCCCGCTGAACTCATGACGTCGCCAGTCGTCGCGGCGGCCGATGTAAGTGAGGGCGCGCTCATCCGCTGACGCCAGGCCGATGATGTGCCCCCACCCAGTCATGAGGACTTTGGCTTGACAGATCCCGACGCAGAGAAATCTCTCACGCAGCACCCGTTTGGGGCGACAGAGAAACGGGTGTCGCACGAGGGGCACACAGACAACCCCTCCAACTTGCCTGACGTTGAGCCTTTCGATCTAAACGCTGGAAATGGAGGGGCAGAGGATAACCGCGCTGCTACACCGCCTGCGCCTGAATTGGAAGAGGGCAAACGCAAATCGACGGATGGAAACGCGACGGGCAGTCGGCGGTCTACCGACGGCTTCCGCTCACGCACGTCATCCGAGATTAAGCGGGCCCCGACACCGCCTAACCCCCTTGAGGCTGGTCCGGGTGAGGGTACGGATCTCCCCCTGCGCAACTGGCAGCTCAAGTACGCGACGCACAAGCCCGATGGGAGTGTCGACCTTCCCAAGGTTCCGAAGGGCAAGCATGACGGACCGGCTGTCACGTATGGAAAGGACATCGTGCTCGATGCCTCCGGTTATCATGCGACGGACAAGGACATCGTGGGTAGGGTTCGTCAGGACGAGCCGAAGCCTTTGTCCGGCTCGCAGTACACCGAGTCGGCGCTCCCAAAGTCGACTTCGACGCCAACGTCGCCGTCCATGTTTCCTAGACCTGACCCGCCTGCCGGGGCGTCGACAATTCAGGACGAGCATGTCGAGGAGCTAGTCAATGACCTCATGGCATCGGCGGCGCCCAAGACGGACAAGGAGGAGTTGTCGGCGTCTCTCGCCGCCCTCTCCCTTGAGGAGAAGTTGGGACCAGACATGCCATCTCCGAAGAAGGGGCGCGCGTTCGCGCGTGCGCAGACTGAGCCGCCCGAGGAGCATGCGCACAGCATCAGTCGCCCGCTTTCGCCGCCGGGCGAGAGAATCGAGAACCCCGCCGAGATGGACCTCGCTTGGGACTGGAGCCAGCTTCCGAAGGACAAGGAGGACAAGGATGGCAAGGTCGACGGCTCCCCTGTCGCCGAGAGACCTCACGCCCCGCAGCGCGGGGAGAGCCTGCCTGTGGCTCTTGATGGCGTGGCACAGCCCAAGCCCCTCGCGACTCTCAAGCCCATCGACGACGACAACTACACGTTCATGCTGCAGTGCGATAATCGGGTGCACATGTTCGAGCTCTCGCTGTGCGGGCACGACGGCTATGCACCGGAGGGCAAGGCAACAGAGAACGAACGCGACCAGTTCGACGAGAACCGCGTATCCTTCGCCAAGTTTGTCGAGAACGCCGCGGTCGTAGACGACACCAAGCTCATCGTCAAGTATAAGGGGCTATATCTGTCGTGGAAGACTGGGTACCATGTGCTGTTTGCGCTCGCGATCTACCGCCGTTCCATGGGACCGCCCCAGACGAAACCAGAGGTGCCGCAGCGTCAGTCGGGCTACTGGTCGAGATGGTGGCGGAGAGCCGAGTCGACAGGAAACGCAATCGAGCGGGTGCAGTCGGCTTCCGGGGTCGAGGTTCCTCCCAAGGAGAAGCCTCATGTGCCGCCCACATCGGCGACCTCGCCCCCTTCCGAGGTGCCCTCTCCATCCGCGACTCCTGCCCCTGCCTCTGTGCCTGGCACCCCGCCAGCGCCCGAGCCTACCACTGAGGAGAAGCACTACGCTAAGACGCTGCGTCTGTCATCTGACCAGCTCAAGGAGCTTCACCTCAAGCCGGGCCCCAACACTATTCAGTTCTCCGTCACCTCGAGCTACTCGGGCAACGCGGTCGTTACGGCGCGCATCTTCCTGTGGGAGGAGACCGACCAGGTTATCATCTCGGACATTGACGGGACGATCACCAAGTCCGACGCGCTCGGGCACGTCTTCGCGGCTATCGGACGTGACTGGACGCACGTGGGCATCGCCAACCTCTACACCGACATCACCAACAACGGGTACAAGATCATCTACCTGACTGCGCGTGCCATTGGGCAGGCTGATACGACGCGCGAGTATCTCAAGACCATTGTGCAGGGCGACTACCGTATGCCTGAAGGCCCTGTCATCATGTCTCCGGACCGGTTGATGGCGAGTCTGCACCGCGAGGTCATCTTGCGCAAGCCTGAGCTGTTCAAGATGGCGTGTCTGCGCGACATCCAGCGTCTTTTTGGCAAGCATGCTAAGACGGCCTTCTTCGCCGGCTTCGGCAACCGCATTACGGATGCGATGAGTTACCGCTCCGTTGGCATCGGCACCGGCAAGATCTACACCATCGACAGCACGGGTGTGATCCTCACCGAGCTACTACAGACGAGCCACCGCGGGTCGTACGTCGGCCTCAATGATCTGGTCAACGAGGTGTTCCCGCCAGTCAAGACCAAGTTCCAGCCCCAGTACACCGACTTCAACTATTGGAAGGCACCGATTGCTGACATCCCCTTGCCGGACTTCACACCACCCTCTCCGGCGCTCTCGGCACGCTCGGATGCCAGTGGCGCGTCCCGCCTCAGCATGCTGGGCCGTATCGCCACACTTGGCAGACGCGGCTCGCGCTCCCCTCCGCCGGACGCGCAGAGCCAGACCTCGCGCCCTACTTCGCCTCTGCTGGGACCCAGCATCACGGCAGACGACCTCGAGGAGGGCGACAATGACAGCTTGCAGGAGTGGGGTAGCACGCAGGCCATGGCGGCGGCGCGGAGACGCCGCGACTCGGGCAGCTCGATGCCGGGCTCCTTTGAGAGCGGAAACGCATTCCCGCCTGAGTGGGACCAGGAGAGCGAGGGATCTCACGGCTCGAAGGACCATGGCGAGTGCGAGCGCGAGCACGAGAACTACGAGGAGGAAGATGAGATGTTCGACGACGACATTCTTGCCACGGGTGAGATGGCCAATGTGCCATTCTAGGCGTGGCTACCATGCAAGAAGATCTGGCGGGCTAGCTAGCCTGCCCATAGTTGTTGTAGACTATTGCGCATATCATAGACGTAGAATGCATCCCATGCTGCTATGTGGGTTATGGGAGGAGCGCGCGAATCATGCGCTCTGCTGGAGTGTCGCCGCCGACGTCGACGTCGTCAACCTTCCCTGCCACAGCGTAGCTGTAGAAGAGTATCTTCATAGCTAGTGCGACACCGGCGTGCAACGCCCCGACAGCGATGACCAGGAGGCGCGCCCACTTATGTTCTGGGCTGAAGATGGGGTAGATGTTGGTGATGCTGGTGTTAGCGGCGACCAAGGTGAACGGTTGAGTCACTTCGGGCCGACGATCATGCCTGATACTTACAGGAAGAAGCCTGACGCAGCCGCGCCGAGCCCAACGAACACCCACCGCGCGATGGTGTAAGGGATTAGGCAGAGAAGCGACACGGGGACATACGCGGCCATGGCGTACCCGTAGATACCGAGGGCCTCTGCCGGCCCCCACTCTGCGACGCCGAGCCACCGCGTGCCAGCCCACAGGGCGGCGGGCACACCCAGCCCATACACGTAGATGAGTGTTGTGGCGGTGCTGAGGAGAGGGATGTTGGCGACGACCGACTCTCCGGCGTGGTACGCCTGCAGCGAGGATGTGAGGGTACTTGTCGTGTAGAGGATGAGAATGAGGGTCGTGAGCGTCCAGAATGGGCCTGGAGTGAGTGGGGACAACGCGGGGCGTGGAGGAGGCGGAGGAAGGCAGGGAAGAACTCACCATATAGGTCGACCTGGCCGTCACAAGCGTCGGCGATGAAGCCGCCTTGGGGGACGAGGGCTCGCGCCACGCGCCGCAACACCGTCGTCGTGTCCACGTCAAAGTACACCTGGTAGTATGCGATGTTGAAGGGCGAGTAGGGGACGACATACTCGCGTCGCTCTGGGTTTGGGGATGCACTGCCACTTGCGGCCGGGGCGGGTTCGAGGAAGCTCTTGAATTGGAGGTTGCCTGAGGACTGTGTGTTAGCGACTACGGCCCCTCTAGTGACTGCGGAGACTGCGCGAGGGGACGCACCTCGTCCTCGTCGACGTCGACGATCGCGTATCCGCCTGACATTGTTGATGAGGCGGATGAGGGGTGGAATGGATGTTGGTGAGTGACGAGGGGGTCAGGACACGTGCCAGAGGGTGGAGGTGGGTCACGTGGGTATTGGGGTGGTCGATTAAGATGGAAGAGGGTCTACCCCACTTGGAATATCTGAAAACTGCTGCGGTCAGGGCTCAGGGAAAGATAAAGGCAGGCCATGCACAGGTGTCCCAGTTCGAGGCCTGGCCATCGACTTGCCCAGAAGCAATGCCCGCCACAACAAATCTTTGCTCTTACTCGAGAGCTCGGGAGAGCAAGAGTACGGTTCACATATGTACGTATCTATGTACATCTGGTTGTGATGGGGGGCTGTGGACAATTCCGGCGAAGGCGGCGGGGTGGGGTTGTAAGAGGTGCCTGATCTCAAGATGAATCTTTGATCCATTCCGCTCTGGACACTGATCCAACGGTATTATACGTGTGATGTCAGGCCAAGCTCCAAGCTCCAAGTTGCAGAAGATGGAAGTCTAGAAGAGCGAGACAGTTCATGCACTTTGGCCATCACCCTGGATGTGCGTGGCGTTGGAGTGGCCAACGGCTACAGCTGGAATTGCGGGCATGGCGGGAGAGAGGGAGGACGCCGAATGTAGCCCTCTCACGCCACCGGACCCTCCACCACACGTCCTTCCCGCCTGCATTGTCACGTGACGACCATGTCACGTGCTCGCCCCCCCCACGTGGCTGACGCCATTCCCGATGCCATCCCCGATATCGCCGATATCACCGTTCGGGCTAGGCCACGTGGTTCCGTATTCATTCCTCCGTCATAGGCCCTCGTTAGGAGGCTGACGCCTGTATCTCCGTTTCTGCATTCATTCTCTTCTCTCGCCTTACACTGGTGGACGAGTAGGCTCGTAGCCTTCCCCCAACGGTGAGCAACGCACCTCTGACAACGTCGCCGCGCCTACGCGCCAAGGCAGCAGCCAGCTAGCCAAGTCCGAACGACGCCGCCCGCGCCGTTCGGGGGTTATCTCGTCAGCCAGTGCACCGCCCCACCACTACGGCCTTCCCTGCGCATACCCCCCATAGATACCCCCCCCTCTAATAGACCCCCGCCGACCGGCGCACACCCACGATTCCCACCCGCCCCTCGCTGCGCCGGGTGCCTGCCGAGCCCGTCTCGCCACCCTCAACCCGCTCACGAAACGCGCTCGCAGACGGCCCGCCACCTTCCCCCAGTTGACTCACCTGACTCGGACCGCTCGGTGACGTCATCTGCGCCCCCTTCGCCCGATTCCCACGCACCTTCCTTGGCGAGCCCACGTAACCCTCCCGACTTGGCAACCCCGAGTTCCACACCTTCCCCGACGGATACACCCACGGACCATACCAGCATGCCCGCAGGACCCTCAACGATAATCGCGCCGCCACCCGGCCTGGGGAGCGCATCCGCGACCAGCGTTCCCCGCGACCAGGCATCCGAGCTCGCCCGCCTCAGGGCCGAGAACGACAGGCTACGCCTCGAGGTAGAGAACGAACGCCTCCGCGCCCAACTCGAGCGGAGCAGAGCCGCCTCCCGAACCGGCTCCCGCCGGACCTCCCACCACTCCAGCCACCACCCCGCCGAGGCCGCCGTCAGAGCCCGCCAACGTAGAGCCATCGTGGAGCTGATGGCACGCCGCAAGGAAGAGGACGACGCCATCGCTCGCCGCCGGGCCGAGGAGAACGAGCAGTACCGGATCGGTGCGGAACCCCCCCAATCGCCACCCCCACGCCGCGTCCGCAGCCCCCTGGACTCGCACTCGAGCACCTCCTCCTCGGACACTCCGCCGACCCGCGCCCGCACATTCCACCTCCGCACTGGCGACATCCCGAACTACTACGGCGGCGATGCCAACATCGACGAATGGAT